GTGATCCAGGGAACCCCTAAGGGAAAAAACCCAAAAACAAACACAATTGAAGAAACATATATATATATATATATATATATATATGCCAAGATGTTGTACAGGATTCAATTAATAGAACGGCCAGGGCACTGCAGGCAGTCTTTACTTTTGTTATCACATTCTGACACTTAAAAAGAAAATATTATTGTCATTTTTTCCTCTACATTATTAGGATTGGAAGAAAATGATGTATTCTGTGGTATGGTATGTGTTTTTTACTGACATCCCAACAGCGACTATGGACTTTGTATCATTTCGCTATTGAAAGATGAGTTACAGCTCAGCATGTGTCGAACATTTGCCATCAACCTCACTAATAGTCACTCTGAAGAAAGGATCTAGTGAAATCATAGGCCATTAAGGTTGATAGGTTGTATCTCTGACAGGCTGAAAGGTTCAGATGCTCTCTCCATGTCTTTTTATGTCACTGGCCATTTGAAATCCACATGTAAAGAGCAGAAGGGTGCAAAATGTCCTCAACTTAATTTGAAAACTAAACAGAGTTAAAAAACTAAAAGCCAGCAGCTGATGCTGAACTGCACTCAAAAGGATGAGGAGAAACAATGCAGGTTAAAAGTTCAAGTGTCACTTTCTGACTTCACTCAAAACTACAGACAATTATGGACGATTGCATCTGGAAGGACTCTTATCTTGGAAGAAATGTTTTAAATGGCTGAGGCATTTGGTCGGCTATGCTGCCTTTTAAAGATTAGAAGAACATTTTTTTCTGTGTGTCCATGCAGTATTGCCAGCTAACACAATCCTCAAACCGCTTTTAAAGTGCCATTGGTTTTAAATGTATTGTGATCTATTAAGAAATTCTACTGCAAAATGTTGTTTGTAAATTGGTAATATCATTGCACAATACAATACAGTTATAATCCTTAAGCCTATAACGTATTGCCTTGTTTTTTACAGAAAGGCTGTTTTTGCCTCTACCAGTGATACATGAGACATTTTAAAACAACTCTGAGACTGTATTAGCAGTAACGAAACATACCTTATGTACTCTAAAATACAAATGAACTTCATATAAACTAAAGTAGGAACTTAACACATATGCCCAAGACCAATTGTAAGTAGAGTTATGGAAAATAAATAGTTTCTGAAAGGATAAGCAACATATTTTTAACAGTTAATCTAGTTTCGCTGAATATACAGTTTTTCTAATAGGTAAAACTATAAGAGCTTAGAATTGAAACCCCTGCTACATTTTGCGCTCTAACTGTGAAAACATATATAGAGTAGCATGTACAAATAGGGTTAAAGCCATTTTCATACCTTCATGTGGCTTCCCATGGTAGCCCACTGAGAAAAACACTTCCCATGGCCAGAAGTGTTCCTTTGTGTGTGTATCTACCACTTGTGTGTGTCTGTGTATATGTATTCCTTTTGCATAAGGTGATTTGTGTGTGTGTGTTTGTATGGAAGACATATGTGAGAGAAGGTTACACTGCAGTTCAATAATAGTCCAATTGCAAACAATTCTCTACCCCGTGCATCTCTCTCTACACACAAGTAAATGCAATATACACAACTCATATTTAATGAAGGCTACAAGACAAGGAGACGGATGCGCTTGGAGGCTTCGGAAGGAAGTTGATTTACATGCTCTGTCAATTCCCTGTTGCTGGCGGACATGCATAATTCATCCATTTATTGACTGCTGGGGAATTCTATTAGGGGATGGTTCTTAGGAGCGAATATTCCCCAGAACAAAAGATGACTGCCCTTTTCATGAGTGTCATCAGGACCATGTGTGAGGAGTCCAAAGGAATGCTTCTCTGTTGCACGATGGCTCCTGCTATCGATGACACACAGGGCATTTGGCTAAGAATGCGTTTTTCAACATGTTGACTGAAGAGCTTCAAGTGTTGCATATACTGTCACGGTGCTGCTGAGCTAATCAAAATAAATGGAGAGCTTTGGTTGTCCTTGGCAATAGACTTGCTCGGAGGCCAAATGAATAGGAGGCTAGGATCGGGTGACTACATAAACAGCATGTCACAGCAGAATAAGCCAAAGTGTAAATTGATATCGCAATATCAATCTTTCATTCGAGATACGGTGGAGAAGATACCTCAGCTGAATAATTTCACACAAGAGAGCATAATGGATCGTGTGAACAGCATCCCCTACATCTCTACTAAAAACTATACTTACCTATCAGTAAACAGTCATTAGACCAACCAACATCTAATTGGTCACACTGACAATGAGACCAAAACATTGCTGTTATCAGACTATACAATATCAACCAGCTAATGGTCTGACGGACAAACACAGGGCATCCTTATTGCCAGTTTAATTGTTGTGTGTAAATGTAAGGTAATTGACGTTTAATCTAGGAAACATTGCATAGGCTGCATCTTGATTTCCCCCCAAAAAGACTGGGATGTCAGCGTTGTTATGTCCTCTTTTAGGAAGATCCACACAAATAATTGTTTGTGCAAAGAAAAATAAGAAATGTGTTTTTGAACCTGTAACCATCAGCATCTGCACACCATATGTATGCACCCTCCTTTCTAGGGACGATGGATGGTTCTGGATTTACTTTCAATCATATATATTTACATACATGAACAATTGTTTGTAGTGGTGTAAAATGGAAAAGGGAAGTCATCCCTACATCTCCTTCTCTATCACCTAAATGTATGAGAAGGACTGCTAGCTGATGATGCCTAGTCTTACCATTGCAAAAGACAAAAACAGTATGTAGTATAATCCCATCATGACGGGCTTTAAAGAGACATAGACAGCACTTTATAAGAAATAAATCAACTATTCCGCAATTGAGTGTTAGACAACCTCCTGTTCTAATTTCCATTTCAGGTTATTGCTCTGTCCCCATCTGTCATCACAGACATCAAAGAGTTTGAAGTCTAACATGGCCAATATAGACATGTGACACAAAAAAAAAGAACCTGTCTGTCTGTTCTTCTGGAAGGTTATGAAAAATGTACTAATGAGACTCTTCAAGACTTATAAGACTCATAAAGGAAATATCTTATAAGGCACATTTTGAAAGGACTTTGAAGGATTCCTCTGTGTCTTTAAAGTGTCCTAAAGTACTTCTGATGAGTCAGTCAGAAAGAGAAGGACTGTAAAGGTATTAGAGAGGAGGACACAGATATCCAAGAATCAGCATGGTCTAAAAATCATGGATACTCAGTTAAATGTTGCCCCTTCTTCTGCAGCTAAAAATAAAACAGGCTTCCTGCGATCATGAAACCACACGAGAGAGAGACAGAAGAAAAACCAGAGACATGACCAAGTTGAAGCACCAGCGGCAGAAGCTCAATGTGATAATCCCCGCTGTCAGTGGAGTCACCCTGCCTTCAATTGGTAGTTTTGACACATCTTATAAACTTTCATCTTATGTCTACAGCTTTGCGTCGCCACTTTCAAGGCCTTGTTTGTGCTCTGCACCAAAGACCAATTAGGCCACTCTTTGCAGATTTGCCTTTCTCTCTCCCCTAGACTGTATGCCACACATATTTTTAATTGACAGAAGCTCTTATATCTCTCATGTAATGCCTGAGAGGGACAGGAGACTCTCAAGGAGAAAAGAGAAAGTTCCACGGCTATTCTTTTTAATTGTCAATGTCGTATTAAAATCAAAGAACAGCGGCGGTAATGTATTCGCCACACAATCCATTTTCTGCTCTGGAGGCAGGAGCATGGAGGTCCACTTCAATATCTCAAAGAATTCCGTACGCTTTTCAGAGTACGCTTGCTAATTGCCAGCAAGGTACCCTGAAGGGGCGTGTATGCACTGTGAATAGCGTTTGTAATTAATACAAGGAAGATTAGTAAGTACCTTTTAGCCTAGACCATTTAACTTGAGATGTAGTGCTGGGCTTGTAACTAAAGGTTGGGATAAGTTATGCTAGCTCACACCCCACAGGACCATTGTGGTTGTCCAATGTGAGTGACCTTATATTAATTTCACTGAAGGTAGAAATCCCATAGTGTGGCTGGATTTAGATGACTGAGCCTTATTTCAGCTCTTTTCTGTCGACCGCACAAGTTTGCAAAGTTATTATTCTCCGGGACCGGTACACAGAGTTTAGGTCAACAAAGTGCTTTCTTAATTGGTGAGAATCAAAACTTCCCAAGGCAAATTGCAACTCTCTCTGGGGGATTTAAGCTGCTCTGCTCGTGCTAATGGAGTGCCAGAGAAGTGAGTGCACAGGCGCGGTGGACACTCTCTCTCGGCTTTTAATTTGTGAACTTTCCCCTCAGCTGGCTACCCTGCAGCCTGGTCTCCCAGCTGAAGGGGCTCTGTTGGCACATCCGGGCTCCTCTGAGGCTTCTGAGTAGCAGTGGCAGAAAAGCATTAACACCTTGGGAGCAGGCGCCAGCACTAACAGGTTAGCTTGTGGAGACCAGGGGCCCCGGGTTACAAAGGAGCAGCACATTATGGTCTGTGTTGCTTTTAAAAAGGTAGGAATGTGTGAGAGCCAGGGAACACAGCTGTGGCTATCTTTTTAGGTAACTATTTAAATGTGAAAGCTACATGTGATTTTGAAGGTTGGTTTGAATAACACATCAGAGTTATGCCCCCAAAAAACCTGTAGCATTTTTAAACGTCACCTATTATGCAAAATCCACTTTCTTGTATCTTTTATACATAAATATGTGTCCCCTCTGCGTTAAGACATTCTGAGAGTTTCAGGAAAAAAGATTCTCTCTTTTTGTTCTGATTCATTTGTATAAAAACCTGTCTGAAAATGAGCTGATCAGATTTTGGCCACCTTATCACCTGAATCTCCTCCTATAGGGCTGAAACAGAGGGGTTTATGGGATGCTACAATGCATGATCTGTTTGGTATTTCGAGCCAAAAACTTCAGACATGTTTTGTATATATCTGAGCCCTATAATATATTGATGAAAAACAGTATAATATGGGGAGCTTTAAGGCTTCTTTAATTCCTGAATACGGATTTCATGCTCGTACCTTTCTTCCAGCAACTTGTCTCCAAAACATCAGCGAATGTGTGGCGCAGGGTAACCCATGACGACGCAGGGCAGCAGCACGCTGGCCCCCACCACCTTAAAGACCGCTGCAGGCTGCACCAGGAATTCCAGCTTCCCTCTCTCTCCAGTTTTCTAAAATGGTGAAAAAAATGTCAGGGTTAAGGCTGAGGATCAGGTTGGGGTGAGTAAATGAAGCAGAGCAGAAACCTTCTACGTGACGGGTGTCATTTGTCTTATAAACCTTCAGAGGACTCCAGTCAGGTCCTGACACCCAAACCGGACCGGTCAGATGAATAATGTCCATGTTGACGTAGTGAGACAGCCGAGCTCGCAGCTCTTTAGGACTTCAAAGTGATCCCATATAATTGCAGCTGCAACTAACTGCATCCAGCAATAACCACAGGGTATGTGTGGTATATGTTTGACCACAGCACATACAGATGAGTTCAGCACTATCAAATTATCTTAAATCATAATTCTCTAAAGCTTAAACAAGATTTAAGTTCAGAGAAACAGAAATGTATAAATATTCTTCTCCAAGCCCATCTCCTACTCTAACGGCCCGTCCACACAGCGGCGTGCGTTGGACGGCTTGGAGGTGGGCGTAATCTGAAGCTTGGGGATATTTTTTGCGAGCACCGCGACCAACAACCAAATCACATGAATCTCCCGCCCCCCGACATACCAAAGCAATAGCAATGTTAAAACGAAGTAAACTGGATATAAATCCCCAAACAGGCGAAAACCTACCAGTTTCACCCACTGTCTCTGCCACCTCCCTCCATGCCTTGCTCCTCCGCCGTTTGTATCCGGTAGCTAGATGAACAGAGACTGATCATACAGCACCGGGTGATTCACTACCGCTACAATGAATATTCCCTCCATTTTTTGGAATATGAGGAAATGACCTGCGTAGTCTCTCCAGCATACACGCGGTTTGATTGGCTTAGCGCTTGTACTGGCAGATTTGCATAAACGGGATTTCATTGGCTGACGCCTCCGTCGAGGCGTCAAAAGTTGAACATTTGCTCAACTTTTGAAGCCAGCTACGCCAGCAACGCTCCACGTCGCTTCCCAAAATGCAGTTCGGCTAAAAGTTGACGTCACCCCAGTCAAAGTGAATGGGCAGAAGAAGCGTTGGAAGCTTCAACCGCACGCCGCTGTGTGGACGGGCCGTAAACGTCTCCCCCGCAAACGCCCCAGTTACTTTATTCTCAAGCTTATTTGTTGCGACTTGAAAGAGAACACAAATAACCATAAATGTATTTATGTTGCTCTAACATCTGCCAGCATGCATCCAAACAAAATGTCTTTTCAATTTCCTCACACAGCTTTACGAGTTTTCCGTCGGAATGCATCCAGCCTTTTGCCACTCAACAACACATCCATGCAGGAGTCATCCAGAGATAAAGACCCCCACTGGGGTCTTGTTGTAGTCTGATTTATGACCTCTAATATCTTCTGTGTGGTGCCAGGAGCCTGGTGCTTAACAACTCAGTAAATAAAACTGTAGAGGTGAGAGACGAGACACTGCCACAATGGAATTCAGCCCCCTTTTGAGCTGCAACTGAGTTACTTGCGGCATTACTGATAACCCCACTGGGAGCCGTACCCCTCTTTCATTACAGTTGGGCAGATTTATTCATGCTAAAGGTAGGGAGAAACCCAAAGCTGACAAGTAAATGATGCACCTAATTGTATTTTAATAATAACGAGTGCTCTACAACTTCAATTCAAGGTTTGAAGGTTCAAAGGATTTATTGTCATGTTTCAATTAAATTCAAGGCTTTATTGTCATGTGCACATTAGGCTACGGTGTAGATATGTCAATGACAAACTTAAGGTCCCACGCTCCTCCAATAGTGCAACATGAATATATATAGGACATAAAACAAATAAAACAGATAAAATAGTGCAAGAGAATGTTTTGAGATGTGCAAGTAAATACAAAGAAAATAGAAATAGTGCAAGAAAAGTAGATGGAATACGATAGATAGCTAAATAATTTGCAAGACGCAAACAGATGAATGTTTTTGGATGTTCTTTAAAAAAGTTCCGGTGTTGAATAGTCTTATGGCCTGTGGGATGAAACTGTCCCTGAGTCTGGTGGTTTTAGTCCGGATGCTGAGGTACCGCTTGCCAGATGGCAGCAGACTGAACAGTTTGTTGCTGGGGTGATGCACAGCTACGGTGTAGTTATGGAAATGAAAATGACATAGCAAGGTAAATGCGTAAGAAGTAAATATATACATGTAAAATAGAATAAGATGAGCTAAAAACAGAATGTAAAATTGTATTTACTGTAGATGTAATAAAGCTATTCTACACCGAGCAATACAAACTCACTTTTCTCCAGTGTCACAGGACAACATTTCTAAACTGTATCAGGTCAAATTACCTGGCACTACTTGGAGCTGGGCCTCGTCGCTGGACTTCGACGACCCCACATTTTCCACCATGCAGCGGTACAGGCCGGCGTCTGCCTCCGAGGCGTTGCTGATCACCAGGGCTCCGCTGGGCAGCTGGACCAGCCTTGAGCTCATCTCCAGCGGCAGGCGGTCCTTCTCCCACCTGGTGAAGGGTATCAGTTCTGAGTTGACCTCACCACGCCATCACCTGGTTGTTCCCTAGATGCACAGTGGTCGGAGTTGGCTGGCTGGCGAACCGCGGCATCCCTGCAAGACAGCGAAGAGACACAGATGTAAAAACCAGCACTTACTTCCAATGTCAGAAGAATAGCAAATCTTTTTTGAAACATTTCAGAGGTGTTTTAGGTGTTTAAAGGTCCTGAAAAGGTGATTTCAGTATCTCAGCATAAGCATCTTAAAGAGCAAAGGAATTTTGGCATTTAAAGAAAGCCTTACTAAGCCGACTGATCTGGGACCTTTGACACAGCAGCGAGGGAAATTAGACAAACTTGGAGTGTCTGTTTTAAACTATGACAAGATCTAATCTTCAGATCTGCGAAACATAACAGAGGACTGGAAGTAGCATGTTGCAATCCATTTCCAGGATAGATCTCAGGGGCCAGAATATGCAACCCACACCCAACCCCGACCTCTGGTATCTTAATGCACACACACAACCTCCCACACACAGTTGCACAGCACAAACACTTATCCGCGATGTTAATGTGCCACGCAGAGCAGGAGACACAGAGCACTAATTAAAAAGGCTGGATCCACAGGCTGTTTGTGCTGCTGTACCCAGACTTTCATCTCAACGCAAAATAATTATTTCCTGCGTTTGAAACCATTGATCTGAAACCAACACTCGCGGGCCACGTTCAAAACAATCGTAAACAATGACTTCAATTAAAAACAAATTACAATGTGTGAACTGCAAATGGTATTCTTGGCTTTATTAGTGAAGAAGGAAGAGTTGTGTTTAAAAAAAGTAAGAAGGCCACTCCGTCCACAATGAAAAGAGTATCATGTTGTGTTATTACCATATAGGGCCTCTGAGTTTTGGGCTGACTGAAGTTGTCTCCTTGGTAATGGGTGTATAAAAGAGAAATGAGTGGGGTACCAATGTGAGACTATGGAGGATGGGGAAATAGGGTTTTTAAGTTTGTTTATATATTCATGAGTGCAAGTTTTTCTGCTGTAACTGTGTTGTTACTCAGGAAGTGATGAGTGATTATTTGTCGTCTCTGCCCTCACTCACCTACAGACAGCCATTTTAAATCCCCTGCCAAGAATGGCTCCAGGGTAAATCACACTTTAAGATAAGGCCCCAACAGCTATAGACTCTCGTCTGGCCCGGGCCAATGCACACATCTTTTCTGAGAATATCTCCACACAATAGTTTGGCTTATATGGGTTTAGCTGATTCCAGTACTGATATGTTTGTATCAGAGCTGCCAATCCCCGACTGTAAAATCATACAAGGGTAGAAAAAAAAGCCTGAGCTGAATCATTTAGATTACTGAGCTCCCCAGCGAATCAAATGATTATGATTAGCAGCTGTAGTGCAGGGTGAGTAATCAGTCTCGCCAATTTTAGGAGGAATTCTGGGATATATATATCAGGCTTTCAATAGAAATTCATTAAGAAAACACGGTTAAAAAAAAAAATGAAATGAACGTTTTGTAGTTTATGCTTTATTGTCTTTATGTGCGAGAAGGAGATTCCTTATCTTTCACAGAAATTAATTATATTTTCTTGACGATATTCACAACTTCTGTGAGTGCAAAACCATATATAGTTTTGTGTATACGTCTCCCTCAACTTTGATAGTAAGGGTGCTCAGTTGTTAAGGAGGGACGTATTGATGTACTTCATTTATTAATAGGTGGACATTACAGGGTGGCTGGTAGCTCATATTAAATAAAGGACGGAGTATACGATGATTAGCTGAAGTCTTTAAGGTTTGTACTGTTGTGATCTTTTGTGAGGTATTTTTGCGTGCTAGCTGATATGTTTGTCTAGTCCTACCCAACAAACATTGACAGACAAAGAAATAGATTATCTTACACTGCGTCCACAAAACACAATGAACACTTTGTAGGAGTAAGCTGTAAACAAACTGACATTTAACCTAGCTTTAACTGAAACGTAAAACTTCAGGAGGTGCTCCGTCTCATGGAACAATAACATTGCAAAGGATAAGGTTGAGGACCATGAATTAATGCGCCTGATCCAATAGCGAGATAAAACTATGAGTTTGTGTAACATCTTGTGACTTCACATTCTGCCCAAAGAGGACAATGGAAAAACTGGGAGTAATCAGCAGACATGAAAAGCCAATTTAGTTCCACATGAAGGGATCATTTTCAGAGAGGAGAGAAACATCTTCGCCCTCACAACTTCAGGTGTTGCGAGCACTTTCTGTCTAACTTTGCAGTGACTCCTGCTCTCAATCGACTAATCCTTTGTTCCTGCAGGCCCCTCACATCCCATCAGGCTGAGTTCATCAGTTTGCGGTGTCTTAAGGATGCGTGTGTGTGTTTTGTGTGAAGGTGTGTGTGTGGATCCTAATTCACAAAGGCATGAGATGAATGCGTGTTATGATGTTTGAATATGTGTGGGTGTTTGTTAAGTGTACATACTCATTGAGCGTGGGTTAAGGAAGTGCATTGTAGATTGGGAAATGGTGGGTGTCCAAGCCAACACTATCGATTCCAATTAATCACAATTCTCCATTTAAATCGACCTGATGGGAGCTTCATTTTCCACACCCTTGCTCAGCACCACGTATTGAACAGGAGTGCTGTTCTGCCAATCTCAACACTTATTACCAGAGTGTGAAGAGGCCAAATGATTGCAGGATAGCAATAATGTCTCAGTGGTCAGCGCACAAGAATGGCTAACGGTAGCAGTTGCTTTGTTCATTTCAAAAGGCATAAATGAGAGGAAAAGGTGACTCATTGTATCGTGCATGCAAAGAACTAGGGATGTCCCGATCACCTTTTTTTGCTCCCGATCCGATTCCGATCATTTGATTTTGACAATCTGCCGATACCGATTTTTCCCGATCCGATCTTTATGCAATGCATTAAGAGAAAAAAAGGTAACAGATAACGGCTGGTCATCCAACGCGATGAATTCAGCTATCTTGGCTGTTATTTGTTTGGCCTTTTCACTGTTCTGGGGCAGTTTCTCTTTCCTTTTAAAAGCCGTTACCTGAGTGGCCGCTGTGTACTCGTCAAGTTGTTGTTGGCGTTTGTTTCTCAGGTGGCGTATTAGATTGGTCGTGTTGAACATAGCTCTGTTCTTTCCACCACGCGGAACCTCCGCCTTGCAAACATTACACTGCCTTCGCTATCAATTTTATAATACTTCCAAACTCCTGACATTTTCTCTGTCCCGACTCCCGAGTCACCAGCTGAACGTAGCCTCTCGTTAGCTTACTGCTACTATTAGACACTGCGCCCACTCTGTTGCCAGATTTGAGAGAAAAAGCAACCAGGTCTGAAAACAAGCCCAAAAGAAGCAACACATACATGATGTTGTGTCATTTCATTTTAAACCAAAACTAAGGCCTCAGGATAACTTTAAGACGTGAACATGGTCATTTTTGTTTTGTAACATTAAATAAAATAATACAAATATTTTATAAAAAAAATAAAAATAAAAATCCCGATCCCCGATTTTTTTCTCCTGATTCCGATCTTTTGAAAATCACATGATCGGATCGGGACATCTCTACAAAGAACATTTTGCGGCACCTCAGTTGTTTCCCCGACTCAGACTGCAAGGAATCTGGGTGTGACCCTAGATAACAACCTGTCCTTCACTGCAAACATAGCTGCTACAACCCGTTGCTGCAGATACACGCTTTACAACATCAGGAAGATACGTCCCCAGCTGACTCAGAAAGCGACTCAGGTTCTGGTCCAGGCTCTCGTCATCTCACGCCTAGACTACTGCAACTCCCTCCTGGCTGGTCTACCTGCATGTGCCATCCGACCTCTGCAGCTCACCCAGAATGCAGCGGCTCGTCTGGTCTTCAACCTTCCTAAATGTTCCCACACCACTCCGCTCCTCCGCTCCCTTCACTGGCTTCCGGTAACTGCTGGCCCTTCCTACATCCAGGACATGGTTAAACCGTACACCCCAGCGCGTGCACTACGCTCTGCATCAGCCAAACGACTCGCTGCGCCCTCGCTGCGAGGGGGGACCCAAGTTCCCATCGGCAAAAACACGTGGGGTTTGCTGTCCTGGCTCCAAGATGGTGGAATGAGCTCAGGACAGCAGATAGCTTGCACATCTTCCGGCGCAGACTGAAAACTCATCTCTTTCGACTCCACTTCGAGCGATAGAACTATTAACAAAGCACTTATATACTAATAAGGGACTGGCTTATCTAAAGCCAGTTGAGTAGCACTTGAAATGTTTGGCTCTATGAAACCTGATGTACTTATATGATTCTGTTTTCTTCAAGGTTGTGTCTTCCTGGTCGAATGTACTTATTGTAAGTCGCTTTGGATAAAAGCGTCAGCTAAATGCAATGCAATGTAATGTAATGTAATGTAATGTTAACATTTGTGGCACCATGCCTCCTTTGTGAGTAGTGGTTTATTAGATTCACCAAACCCTACATCATCTGCATGGCTTTGCCAGCGGAGCTTATAATCGTATGAATGCTAATGAATAAATGTGTCCATCACTGGATGGAGATTAGCAGAAAGGAATTGTGCCGCAGAGAGCTAGGTACAGGCGTTACGACTGTCTGCTACGCCTCAGACTTCACATGCACATGCCCTTAAATCAAACAGTTGGGTTTCTACTATTCTTAATTCAAATCAGGAATAGAATAACAATGAGCAGCTTAATGTAATATGCAGAGGGCTTTAAGGATCTCCCTCTAGATTCTTCTTAATTAGTAACTGACTGCAGAATGGCTGTCTTCACCTTGGATCAGAAATACAACAGCGCTCTATGTTACACATTTTCAAGCAGTCAGTTTAAGTAATTAAAGAAAACATTGAAACTGGCACACATGTTTGAGCTGCCCTGAGGGCTATACCTCCTTATATGGTTCTAGCCAGAAAAAGTGATGTGTTTAGATTGGCAACATA